CTCTCTCTCTCTCTCTCTCTCTCTCTCTCTCTCTCTCTCTCTCTCTCTCTAAATTCTCCGCAGCGAGCGCGATAGAGCCGAAAGAGTCGAACGGTTCGTTAAATGCCTTTTTAGCTCGTCCCGTTCCAGAGCCAGTTTTTCGAGGTGGCGAAGCGATTCTCGATGACGTTAAAAAAGTGTTTCTGGCACGCGTCGCTTTTGAGCGGAACGCGCGCCCATTCGAAACGAGTCTCCCTCGACTAGGAGGGTCGAGGACACCCACTTCACAATTTATCCTGTAACAGACTTGGGGTAACATATTAAAAAAAAAAAAAAAAAAAAAAAAAAAGAAAAGAAAGAAAAAGAGAAAGAAGAAATCGAAGAAGGGACAAAAAAGTGGAACGGAAAAAAAAAAGGAAACGCGGTTGAATTAACATTGTACGAGCTACTATTATTAGAGTAGGACGATAATAGTTATGTATCCTATTAGTTGAACAAAAAGTTTCGAAATTCTCTTCATTTTCTTAAACGCTGATCACCGATTATCGAAGAGGAGAAAACTGTTTCTTCCGGAGAACGTATCTTGCGAAACGAACACAGGATAATAATAATTTATCAAAAAAAGAAGACCGAATCGAGTGACTAGATTGAAACGTGATATCGAGAGAAGAAGAGGAAGTACGTATGTAGGAAGAACGTATCGGTGAAAACTTCGTAGAAAAATGTGCGAGATGGCGAAAATAGGTGCATCGTTAAATCGAAGTGGAGGATCCGGCCGAAAAGCTCGGCCGTTAGAATCGTGAAATGGAAACCATTCCTTTTAATCGCGTGAATGATCGTGCAACGGACAAGAAAATATGAGTGGTTGGCTGACATCGCTGGCCGGACGAAAGAATTCGACCGATAAAGGTGGCAAAGAACCTTGGCGAACTTATCACAACTCGAATGGTTGACGTTTCATAGAACGAGGGATAGAAACAAGATGGAAAAAATGCGTTATTAATTCCAGTACCATTAATCATAGTTGCGTTATCAGCAGAAACAAGCGATAGTTAGTGGAAACGAAGAATAATTAAAAATAATTAAAAAGGAAAATAGTATTAGAGAGCGAGTCAATAAGAATATACAAAAGAAAACCAGCTTAGCTGAAAATTAATATAAAAGAGTGCCAAAGAGAGAGAGAGAGAGAAAGAGAGATCTATTTTCTTTCATTCGTCCTCCTCCTCCGATCAAAAAAATTCCCTATCGTATATCGTTTTCTTTCTCCGTGCGCGGACGGAGAATTGTACGCATTTGATTATGGAAAAAAACCGATCGTGGAACAACCGTGCGATGAAATTGATGGAAAATTTTCTCGGTTTGGTGTAGAAGCGGCTATCGGATACCTTGCTGAGCGGGATGCCTATTGTGGTTGCTAGGTGCCATCATGTGCATCTGGTGTGCCCCGACCGGCGACCTCAGCGACAAATTGTTCAGGTTCACGTTTATCGAAAGATTCGTATTGTTACAGGCGGCGGTCAGGTTGTTGTGATTGTTGGGCGGTGACGTGGTCGTTGTTGTACCCACATTGGAGGCGGCGTGCGGCGACAATCCGGAGCTGTCTGTGGTGGGCGCCGACGGATTCGACGAGGTGTTGTGAGAGCCGAAGTCCTTGCCGCCATTTGCGCCACCACCGCCGCCGCTGGTACCGGAAGAACCACCGGAGCTTCCGGCCACCGTCTTGGAGCACCTTAGGCACTTGGGCAACCAGGAGTGGCGGCGCACGAACTTCCTGTATTCCTTCCTCACCTGCAATGGCGAAGCAAACCCACCCCCCGAACGAAAGGTTGTTTTTTAACGGTGCACAAAGAACCAAGGCAAGTGCGAGCGCGCGTTAGTTTCTCGTTCCTCGTCGCAATGAATTAAGAAAGAGAAAAAAATAATAAATAAATATAAAAAAAAAAAGATAAAAATGAGAAAACAACAAATTTTTTCGGAGGATGATCGATACGACGATGAGTATGGATTATATTATCGAGAAACATGAATCGATCGAGTTTACGAAAGCGTTGGTGCTGAATTTACAGATAAATCAGGAAAAGAGCGGTGCATCCTGCAGTGGCAACCAAAATGTAAATGTTATTATTAAAAAAAAAAAAGAAAAAGAAAAGAAAAATCAAGATAACGAGCTGCAAATTAATCTACAGGATCCCGGTTGATTCGACGAATAAACGTTGGATGATTTTCGATTGCCACAGCACTTTATTTGAGACATCATTTTGTTGTTATCGTGATTGTTTGCGAGATACCATACGATGTCTAGATTACGTCACGTAATTTAACATGATTCTCCTCAAACTTATGGTTTGGATTTCCTCTCGCTTATGGAATTACTTGCTACTTATATATAATATACGAAGAATCCGCTTTCGTACATCAGTGCATCGAATTCTCATGTTACAAGATCTTTGACTCGTGAGTAATTGTGTTTAACTATAAACCTTACGATAATAGAAACAGTTTTACAATCTTTATATATATATATATATAAATATCCAATTTGACAATCGATTCTCTGATTTTCTCGGAACATTGACAATAATATATATATATATATTCATTTGCTCTCGAAATCGTTTCGCGTTTTGTTTGATACAAAATTGAAAAATATATATATATATACGCATAATCAATCGAACAAATTATTATATTCAATAATAATAATAATAATAATTATAATAATTATAATTATCGTAATTAATCGATAACGATAACATTTTCTTCTCGCAATACTAATTGCTCGCTACTAATTAGGATGCCACGCGAATTCTCATTAACGAGAATGCAGAAAGATGAAAGAATGAAGGATGAGGCGAACGAGGCGTTCTTAGACGTCGAAACGCGGTTCAACAACACCGGCGGCATAGACTTTTCTTTTTTTTTTTTTTTTTTTTTTAAAGTAACGTGGACGTTTGGACCCCGACGTATTCCCTTACCTTCTCGTTCTGAACGCAATGGAACACAAAGATAAACAGCCCCTGCAGGCTATTCAATATGGTGAAGATGTACGCCATCGCTACGGATTCTTGGTTCAAGTAGAGAAGGCCGAAGGTCCAGGTGAGTCCCAGCAGAAAGACAAGGACGATCGCTCCTCTCAGCCATGCCCTATTGATAATTAAT